CCACATATATTTTTCTATCACTTTTATTAGTCATTTCACAAATCAACTTTCCAGTAATCCTGTCTTTAACGTCATTATTTCTTTTCTTTAACTTTCTTCAGGGTTATTTTGCTGTTCTTTTTCTAGCTTGGTGAGATAAATGTTTTTCTCATTCATTTTCAGCCTTTATTCTTTCCTAATATGATCATTTCAAGGCTAGCATGTTTACATTTAGCACCACTTTAACCTAATCCCACAAGTTTTGAAATGTGGTATTTTTACTATATTTCAGTTCAAGGTAGTTTCAGATTTCCATTACAAATTGTCTTTAACCTATGGGTTATATAGCAATGTGTTTCTTAATTTCCAAATATATGGGGATTTCCTGGTTATCATTTTGTAATTGGGTTAAAGCTTAATTGCATTTTGAACGAGAACATAGTCCATGTGATTTCAATTCTTTGTAATCTGTTGACATTTGCTTTATGGATAGCATTTGGTTAATTTTTATTAACTGTTCCATGTATGCTTTAAAAGAATGTGTGTTTTGCAGTTGCTGGGGGCAACATTCTGTCACTGTCCATTGGGTCAAATTTGTTATCATATTGTTCAAGTATTTTATATCCTTTTTAGAATATTTACTCACAGATGTATTAAAGCTTCCCACTGAAACTGTGGATTTGTAGTTCTGGAACTTTTGGCTTATAAATTTTTTCTTTTTTTTTTTTTTTGAGACAGAGTCTCACTCTGTTGCCCCGACTAGAGTGCCGTGGCATCAGCCTCGCTCACAGCAACCTCAAACTGCTGGGCTCTAGCAATCCTCCTGCCTCAGCCTCCCAGGTAGCTGGGACTACAGGCATATACATATATGTACATTTCTATATAGGTATGTCTCCTCATGCAGTGCCTTGCTCATAAATCATAAATGCTCAATAAATGTGTCTGATCTCTGTCTTGTTCTTTTGCCCTTTGTCTCCTCAAAATGACTTGAAGAATCTTAACTATTGTTATTTAGATGACTTGTTTCTTCAGCTTTCCTATGAGCTCCATCACGGTAGGCACCGTATGCTTTTCTTCCTTGTAGCTACCACAGCACCATGACATTGTATTTCCCCAATAAACCTTTGAATATGTAAAAAAATAGGGATCATTTGTAGTCTCCCTGGGTAAGTAGCTATATTGGGAATAGAATGGGTTGAAATTATACTATATGATTAAGAACACAGAAGTTAATGGTGTAGAATGAACGATAGGAATTAAAACACCACGGACCCAAGTAAAGAGAGTAGAAATGGAGGTTCTGCTGTGTCCTCTGCTGGTCTGACACGGGCTGCTTAAGTATTCACGACAAGCCTAGACCCCTTTTCTTAATTCAGGTAGATCAGGACCCTTGATCCTGTTTTGGTCTAGATTTTTAGTACAAATTTCTTTTGAACGCTTTTTTTCTGATGAAATAGATATTGGAACCATGGGCTCTTCTTCATCTCAGGGCTATATTTCTTCCTAATATTTTGGTGCTTACTGTCCCCTATATTTGTATATAAAGCTGACAAACATTCTAGAACAAAAAAAGTTTCCCTTAACCAACTAAGGGTGAAATGTACAACTCTCAAATCCCCAGCCATGTAAGATATATCCAGACACTAGATTCCACAGATTAATGATAGTTTTACCTCTAGCTTTTCATTATAAAAGTCTCTTGTAGTATAATTTAGTGTAGCACGATTTGTGTTTTCTCCTACAAGCCTTTTGCTGTCATTATTTTCTTCATTGACAATACCAGGTTTTTTTCCTTTGGTTTCTAGCAGATACCGGAACTGCTTTTTCCTGTAGAAAGACAGTGTAGAGATTTAGAACATTACTTATCAGACTTATAAAAACATGTCTATTTTTGTTGACTTTAGAGGGGAGCACATGCTTTTTTGAACATCTGTTTTGTGAGTTTAAGTTTATTATTTATTTGAGCTCAGTTTGGTACTCCAATCTTTCTCTAATTAGGCTATTTAACTCAAATTCTTCTGTTCCATAACAACCAATCATCAACATAAACATGTCTCAAGCATTTCTAAGATGAAAAAAAAACCTTCACCTTAATAAAAAGCAATACAAAAATTAAACAATCACAGAGCACAAAATAACCCAATTAAAGATACAGTAGGGCAAACTTTCAAAGTCTTTATATCCCATAAAACATGTGTTAGTTACCTCTCATAAATCACACAAATAGTTCACAATTCCATTATGCACCTCAGTAGTATTACTCATAGCTAGAAAATGGAATGGGATACTGGTTTAAGTTTAGGCAAAAACAAAACAAGTGGAAACCAAAAAACCTCCAACTGTTAGCATATCATGGCAAGATCCCTAGTAGGAGGTTAAATAATGAAACAAGAAGCCATACTTGATTATGAAGAGGGACATACGCAGTGCTCACAGTATCACTTACAGAGCCATCAGCCCAGAATTCCAGAGGACTGCAACTCATCCTCCATGACGGTCGATTTCTGGTTTCCACCACTTAGGGTGTCTCTAAATGAAGGGATACTACTACTTTACTGTGAACTGAAGATTGGGAGCAGAAGAGGGATATATCTTTTTTAAAATTTCTTCTTTTTCCATTTAAAAGTATAACACAATTATTTTAGAAATTTTGGGAAGTATACATTTTGAAAAGTATGAATAAATAGATAAAAATCACTCATAAGTCATAAATCTAAATCTATGACATTGTTCACATTCAACATACTTCTTTGTAGGCTTTTTCTATAAATCTTTGTAAAAAGTTAACCTAAACATCTGTACCCCCATAATATGCTGAAATAAAAGAAAAAAAAAAAGTTAAGATCATACTAAACATCCAATTTTGTATACTGTTTTCACTTAATGCTATATAATAAGCATTTTCTCTATCATTAAAAAATGATAATTTTAATAAATGAATAAAAGTCATTTGTGATAGAGATCACCATTTACCTAATTGTCCTTTTTATTGGATATTTAGGTAGTGTAACTTTCTCATTTTAGTAAAGAAAATAAATGCAGATAAAGATCTATATCTGTATCTAATGTTTTAATTACAAAAACAATGCCCACATATATTTTTCTATCACTTTTATTAGTCATTTCACAAATCAACTTTCCAGTAATCCTGTCTTTAACGTCATTATTTCTTTTCTTTAACTTTCTTCAGGGTTATTTTGCTGTTCTTTTTCTAGCTTGGTGAGATAAATGTTTTTCTCATTCATTTTCAGCCTTTATTCTTTCCTAATATGATCATTTCAAGGCTAGCATGTTTACATTTAGCACCACTTTAACCTAATCCCACAAGTTTTGAAATGTGGTATTTTTACTATATTTCAGTTCAAGGTAGTTTCAGATTTCCATTACAAATTGTCTTTAACCTATGGGTTATATAGCAATGTGTTTCTTAATTTCCAAATATATGGGGATTTCCTGGTTATCATTTTGTAATTGGGTTAAAGCTTAATTGCATTTTGAACGAGAACATAGTCCATGTGATTTCAATTCTTTGTAATCTGTTGACATTTGCTTTATGGATAGCATTTGGTTAATTTTTATTAACTGTTCCATGTATGCTTTAAAAGAATGTGTGTTTTGCAGTTGCTGGGGGCAACATTCTGTCACTGTCCATTGGGTCAAATTTGTTATCATATTGTTCAAGTATTTTATATCCTTTTTAGAATATTTACTCACAGATGTATTAAAGCTTCCCACTGAAACTGTGGATTTGTAGTTCTGGAACTTTTGGCTTATAAATTTTTTCTTTTTTTTTTTTTTTGAGACAGAGTCTCACTCTGTTGCCCCGACTAGAGTGCCGTGGCATCAGCCTCGCTCACAGCAACCTCAAACTGCTGGGCTCTAGCAATCCTCCTGCCTCAGCCTCCCAGGTAGCTGGGACTACAGGCATGCGCCACCATGCCCGGCTAATTTTTTCTGTATATTTTTAGTTGTTCGGCCAATTTCTTTCTATTTTTAGTAGAGACGGGGTCTCACTCTTGCTCAGGCTGGTCTCAAACTCCTGAGCTCAAATGATCCACCCTCCTTGGCCTCCCAGAGTGCTAGGATTACAGGCGTGAGCCACCGCACCTGGCCTTGGCTTATAAATTTTTAAGGTTGTGCTAATAGGTGCATACAAATTTAAATTTGCTATGTCTTTCTGGCAAACTGAACCTGCTATCAATTTGAAATGATCCTCTTTATTTCTAGTATTGCTTTTAATTTTGAAGTCTATTTAGTCCTCAATGGCTACTCTGTTGTTATGGTGTATAGTATTTATATTGTTCATCTTTTCTCACTTTTTTACTTTCCAACTTTATGTAAACTTATGTTTCAGATATGTCTGTTGTAAACAGCATATAGTTGAACTTCATTTTTTTATCCAGTCTGACAATCTATGGCTTTTAATCAGAAAAATTAGTATATTTGCATCTGTATCATTGAGGTAGATTGATTACATTAATGGCTATATAATGGCTTCCTTGAATCCATGCCCCTTACAATGAGATTTTACAGCTGTGTAAGGCCTACTTCCAGGCCCCTTAAATGTCGCTCTGTGACTCACTTTGACCAATACAACATGGGAGAAATGATGGTAAGTCAGTTCTTAGCATAGGACTCAATCCTCAAAACATTTATGGAGAAGTTTTGATTTTTTATTTTACCTAGCATTTTTAGTTGTTTTTAACACAAGGGATGGTCAATACAACCAAACTCAGCATTTTCAGAAACAGAAGTTCAATAAATTCCCAATTTTGTACAGATGTAGAGCAAAACTTGAAAATCACTCTTCAACTACTCCATCACCACTCCTAATACCTACATCCTTCCAGGTGTTCGTGCTTTCAGTTCCCTTTCTATGTCTCTAGATTTATATGCCTACATATTTATTTTGTTTTTTATAATATTGAGTCATAATATAAATATCATTTTATGCCTTATTTCATTCAATTAAATTATGTTTCTGGATCATTTCATGTCAGAACAGGAGATTTCCTGTTCCTGAAAGATTTCAATCTTTTCCCCCTCCACCTTTTACAGTCATGTAATGACTGTAATGTAGATTGTATCATATGGATACTACATCCATAATGGAGAAATATCATGATATACTTAGTTTTCCCTATTACTAGGTATTTAGTTACTTTCCAAAGTCGAGCAACTACAAACAATAAAGCATGGAAGACTTGTACATAAATTGTCTGTGTGTACTCTTGTCCAGTGGATTTACTGGTATGTTATAGTTTCTTTGCCTCTGTAAATGGGATATTCTAATACTATTTTCAATAGTTTATTATTGCTATGAGGAACTGTTAATTATTTTTACATCAATATGTTGATCTAGTATCTATCTGGTCTCATTATTATATATTCTGATTAATTCTAAAAGTTTACAAGTTGAGTTCTTGTATTTTCTGGAGAATCAATTTTTGCTTTTACTGGTCAACTACTATCTTTTCAATTTCTTTTTTTTCTTTAAGTTGCTGTTATCTTTACAAATTTCTTTTTCCCATTTTCTTTTGCTTCACTTTGGTGTTTTTATAGCTTCCTGAAGTAAAAGCTTTATTCATTATTTTCTAATCTTTTTTGTTTTCCAGTAAGTACATTAAAGATACATAATTTCCTCTGAGTACAGTTTTGGCCACGTCCCAGAGGTTCTGACATATAGTAATTCTTGTTGTCAAATTCATTTATATATGATTTATTATTTCAGCTTTAATTTCCTCTTTAATTTAAAAGAGTTAAAGTATTTTTTAAAATATCCTTTTTAAAAAAGGAATACAGGCTGGGTGTGGTGGCTCATGCCTATAATCCTAGCACTTTAGGAGGCAGAGGCTGGAGGATTGCTTGAGCAACATATGGAGACCTTGTCTCTACAAAAAATTTAAAAAACTGCTGGGCATAGTGGCATGTGCCTGGAGTCCCAGCTACTCAGGAGGCTGAGGCAGGAAGATCACTTGAGCCCAGGAGTTTGAGGTTGCAGTGAGCTATCATGACACCACTGCACTATAGCCTGGGTAACAGAGCAAGACCCTGTCTCAAAAACAAAACAAAACAAAACAAAACAAAAACAAAAACAAAAACCCCAAAAACAAACAAACAAAAAACAAAAAGATAATTCAAGAGGTTCATATAAACATGCAGTAAAAAGTAAGCATCTACACACTTTGGAACCCTAGCGTCCCCAGTTGAACATCTAGAGCCAATCATTTTTTAAAAATCAAATATGTTTAAACAGCACAAGAATACCTCCGAAAAATATGCCCCATTTCTCACAAATTGCAAGCATACTATACAAATGTTCTATATCTTACTTTTTTTTTTAGAGATGGGGTCTTGCTAGCTCTTGCTAGAGGCTGGTTTCAAACTCTTGGCCTCAAGTGATCCTCCTGCCTTGGCCTCCCAAAGTTCTGGGATTAACAGGTGTGAGCCAGCCTCTTACATTTTTATTTTGAGACATCTTAGTAACTGTTTCATATAAGAATATCTAATTATTTTTAGAGCCGCAAGTAACTGGTCTTGTTCTACTGATGGACATTTAGTAAGTTTTCATATTTTTGCTAATATAAATACTGGCTGCAATGAAATCCTTGGACACATATATTTGTGTTCATGTAAAAAAACATCTGTAGAACAAATTCTTTTAAGTAAAGTTTCTAAGTCAAAAGGCATGTATGTTTAAAATTTGTTAGATATTGCTAAGTTGGTGTGAAAAATAATTACAGCAACTTTCATTATCACCAAGAGTATATAAGAGCCCTATTTCACCACACTGTATATCATCAAACTTTTAGTCTTTCCCCAAGAAGTTATTTCATTATTTTAAAATTTGCATGTCTATAACTTTGATTGAAGTCAAACATCCTCTTTCTCAAGTGTAACGCATTGACTGCCACACTGGAAAAAAAATTTTTTCCTTGGGACCACGCTATTTTATTAAGAAAATAGAATGAAAACTTCAAAAACAAAATGATCCTTTCTAATCTAATGTAAAATTTATTTTTTATAACTTTCTGTGCATGAGTTATTAATATATGCAACTTAAAAAATAGTTCTTGCAGCTCCCAAGGTGAAGAGATGTGTAAGTTACATATGCTTCATGAGGCCCCGGGCCTCATTATTTTGATTTATTTGATCTGAGTTATGAGATAAGTATATTAATATCTACTATAATAACTGAATTTGTCAATGTATACCTGTATTTGTTAATATGTTTAGAAGCTGTAATCTTGAGTACTCTGTTTCACAACTATTATCTTTTTTGGTAGACTGCAGTGTTTAGTGTCATCAATTCTATTATCTCTAATATCAATATTCTCATATTTGTTGTTGACATTTGCTCATTATATATTTTTATCCCTTTATTTTCAACCTTTAGGAATTTCTTTAGGGATGTTTCTCAAAACAACATATAAGTCAATTTTGAACTCACTCTGAGAGGTACTATCTATTAATAGGACAATTTAATTCATTAACATTTATTATGATAACTCATATGCTTTTCTTTTTTCTTCTCTTTCTACTTTTTGCTACTCATTTTTTTGTTCTTTTAGTAATTTAGAATTATACATCTAATCTTTTTCTAATGGCAATCCTTAAAATTTTAATACATACAGTCAAACATGTATTTTTCCATCAATTTTTGTTGTTAATTAGTACCTAATATCTCTCCTAAACAGGGAAAGAAACTTAGCAAACTTTAACTTCCATTCTCTTAGGATTTTCTGAGATTCCTATTTTTGAATTTTTTTTTATATTATGTATTAATACTTATCCAGAAAACTACAATTTTTACTAATTTATTTCCACACCATCATTTCTTGAATTCAATGCCTCCCTCAGTATTTTTTTTTTCCAAGCAGTTGGTGAGTTCTAGATGGGATTTAGATTGCATGAATCAGATACACTTGGGTAAGATCTGAATTCAGAACTGAGCTAAGGGCAGAAGTAGGAATACCACACAAGACACCCATTTTGTTGGTGTAAAGTACAGCAAGGCAACATGGCCCTGGGGCCAGGTTCTGAGGAGTGGAGTAGGGAATTTCCTGGTTCCCAGTGTAGTTAAAGCGGCATGATCCCGGGGCTCACAGCTAGGACAACAGCCTCCTATTGTCCATGATCGTAGCAAAAGTGGCAGTTTCCTTGTTGGTTTGTTCTGTACCAAAGTGCTCCACGACTATGGCAAAGGTAGCAGTTTCCTTGGTGGGTTTGTTCTGTGGTATCATTCTGGGAGTTATATTTGGAGGCTCAGTCTAGAGATTCCTTCCTCAACCCTTCCAAAAATTTCGTAGATATCTAATACCTTGCTTACTCTAACCAGAGTGACTTCTATTATCTATAACTGAATTGTGGCTGATATACCATCCTTGACTATTCTCCCTCTATCCATACTGTAACCTGTTAGTCAGTATGCTCTGTGATGTATACCTTCTAAGTATTTTTCAAATTATCCTCTCCTTTATTCCCACTGCCTTAGTTCAGGACCTCATAATCTCTCTCCTAAACTATAGACTCACCACTTGATTGGTCAGTCTTTCAATCTCTCTCTGCTCCAGTGGCAGCCTTTCTAGAGCATAAGTCCAATCACATGATTGTTGTGCTTAATTACAACACACAAATTTTCATTTTTGTTTGGCATGGATTACAAAGCGCTTCAAAATCAAACAACAATCTTTCTAGCTTAATTTCCTATCATTTATTCATAATCATTCCATGCCCCAATTATATTGAATTATTTATAATTCCTTGTGTTTTTGAAGATCTATTTACCCCATATCTTCTCCCTGAAAAATTCTTACTCATTCCTGAAGAACTAGATAAAATGTTACCTCCTTTGTGAAGCCTTCTTCAATGTTCTTTCAAAATGCAGTTAGTCTTTCCTATGCTTCTATAGCCCTCTCTTATAGCACCTGAAATATTGTGCTTTAATTGCTTATGTATATCTTTAACTTATTAGATTATAAGCCACAGGAGAACAAAGACTTTGTCCTACTTGCTTTTATATCCCCAAGACTTTGAATAGAGCCAATCACAAAATACATCTAGGATACATGTTTGTGGAATACATAAATGGCACAGTTAAGAGGTGTATGGAATTGATTTCTTTTTCTAGTGCAACAGTAATTCTATAAAAACTATACAAATTAAAGTTTACCTGGCATCACCCAGAATTGAAATCAGACGGTACTGGGGTAACTCAGAAGATGCTACATGTGCTAGGATTCCAAAGAGCCTTTCAGCCATTATCATGTCATTCTGCGTCACCTGAAGACATACCATGGAGAGGGGTCAAAAATGACACCATCTGTTAGCTGGATACAACTAATATAAACCCAAAGAAATGTCTAGATTAAATATTATCTTTTAAACCCAGAAAAGTACATTCTTCTGGGCCGTAGAGAGAAGAGTTTTCATTAATAATTCTCTTCCTTGAAGTGAAATGAAGATGTATAAATGTGCCTGATGTTGACGGAAGCTGACTGGGGATGATGAGCTAGTGCTGACTTAGAAGATGTGTTTTCCTGAGAATGATGTTTTAAGTACCTTAGATTCTTAATTATTTTTTCAGAAATCCTATAGCTTTTTGGATTAGAATTATTTAGAGAGAAAAATTCCCAAGTGTCAATGGGATAGATTCATTTCAATAAGGTATCAAAGGCAAGCCAAGGTATTGTTCATACCTTGCTCCTATTAATATAAGGATAATTTGTCCCTTTCTGAGAGACGGAACTCTCACAGGATTAGCGAGGATACTCCTGTACATTCTAAATTGGTATCAGCCTTTCTCCCCCCAGAGAATAATTTGTCACAAGTATACCCTGTGAGGGCTATTCCAAGATAGTACTAAAACCTGAAAGTAAGCCTTGTATTAATATCTCGGCATATCTTCTTTAATATAAAATAGGGTTGCTTGCATTCTAAATATTGTTTGTTTGTCTATTTAATCCAATGATTCCCAACCAGGGGTTATTTTGTCCCTTAAGGAACATTTTGCAAAGTCTGGAGACATGTTTGGTTATCACAAGCGGTGGAGGGGTACTACTGGAATCTAGAGGGCAGAGACCAGACTACTGCTGAACATCTCGCAGTGCACAGGACAGCCCCTTCAACAAAGAATTATCTGGCCCAAAATGTCAATGGAGCCAAGGTTGAGAAACCCTGGTATAGTTAAATTCTGGATCTTCAAAAAATTCATTCTTAACGCTAGTTGTAATATACCTTACAGGCATTTTCTGGAAAAAAAAAAACAATAATTCACAAACATCTTATACATATGAATCAGTGTAGACAGAATTTCTTCCCTTCCCTGGACCTTCACAGTTAATAAGGGTACTGCTCCCTCAAATCCTTCCTTTAGCTGAAAACTAAGTTGTTTGGTCCAATATAGTCACCTAGTGGCCAATGCAGGCCACTACTCCGTCTTTTCTACTTGATGCTGGTAATTCAATTTTATTCTACCTCAAGCAATATCATTCTCTCTTTTACAAAGAGATATAGAAATGTAATGTAACATTACTCTATATTGTCAAGGATTTTATAAGGAGGAATGTGTTTAAGGTATTTTAGTAAAGTATCAAATATTCCTGACAGTGACATTTTCAGAAATTCAAGTCAGAAAAAATTATATTGGTTCTTTCCAATTCTGTTCTACTTTATATAATTACACTATTCCTTCCTAATTCAAAGTTCTGTAATAATGGGTATCTTCTGGTAATGATTCATATCTGTGTATATACACTATTTAGGGTTAATTGGGATATCAATTTGGCCATTAGTAAGGGAGAATCACCCACCTATAGTCAAAATAACCATTCTATATCCATTCAAGGCTAATTTTGGAAACTTTTGGGACTAATTATTAGGTCCTACAAGGGTCTTAAGATCTCTCCTCTGGGGGACTACCAAAAGGTACACAAAAGTACACAAGACTAAACCACATCTCTTGAGAACTAGCTGGAGAAATTAAAAGTCATCTGAAGATTCTAGATTTGGCCAACATCCTCAACAGATGGCTGATACTGTGGTCATGGGAACATCATGGTTGACGCAGATTTCATATGGCTGCTTGCACACCAATCCAGAGACCTAAAACTATGAAGAATTCTTGGAGTTCTAGGCCACAGGTACCTACCTGTAGTGTATCAGCTGTAGGGATATAGGTGCTGTACCAGCAAAGCTGATTACAGTTCATCTTACAATAAGGAGTTCCTCTGAATTTTAAAGATTTTTTTCCTTTGGAGGATTATTTAAATTCAGTAGAGGTAGAAGCATAGTTATTCTCTTTTTTCCAAATTAATATTTAAAGAGAACATGGTTTTTGAGTAGCTGGGAGATTGCCCTTGTGACAAGCTTAGCAGAATCAATCTAAAAATAACTTTTCACTAATAATTTTCCAGTTCTTCAGTTCCAGGCCAGAGTTATCCAATGTAGTCATGGTACAGGCATCTGTTACCAACTATTAACAAAGCAGTCCTGGTGTTGACTTATGCTTGTTTTCTTTTCTTTTTCCTTTCTTTCTTATTTCTCCTTATCATCTCTTTTTTTTTTAAAGTCACTCTTCTTTCTCTTTATACATTCTGCTGTTTTTTTTTTTTCATTTTATTCTTCCCTTCCTCTACCATGACACTTATTAGTTGACACTTGAGTTCTACTTTCCCATCCCCTCTTG